GGGAATGGCCTTGAAGGACAGAAGGAAGAGCCACTATGAAGGCAACAGTCAGATAAGTGGGGCTTGAGTCTGAGCCAAGAAAATAATGTGAGAAAATAATGCCCTCCCTAGTTCACCCCTATATAAAGGAAGAGTGGGGAAGACATATTCAGACTTGCAAAATTCTTTTACTATAGTTATTACCATTAGTCTTGACTTATGTGGCATTGGTTTCTTAGTCTGGCCTACTTTATACTAACATGCAGGTGTTTATAGTAGATAACATTGTTAAAGCAGTTCAGGCAGGCAGAGGGATTCCTGATTATTTCAAATAACAAATGTCTGAACAGAAAGATGCAGAAGAAATGCTGTTGGCAGGTTGGGAGCAGATTTCTCCAGCATTGCACGTTGGGGAACGTACAGTATGTGCTTGTCTTTTAGAGATGGTTGCATAAGCCTTTTTCTACATCAGCAAATTTTAACATTCTGGTTAGGGGGCCCTCAAGCAGCAAAGCCACAGAACAGGAAATCAGAACTACCAATCAGCAGCAGTGTGTGCACCTATGCACAACACATAGTTGGGATTTGGAAGGTATTTGCATTGGTCCATCTGCAGCCCTCTGCAACCTCTACTTACCCATCAACCCCTTTGTAGCGTAAGTATGTGGCGACGGCTATGGGACATTGTGGGCAACTCTCAATCAGCTTTTAGAGGCCTGTCTTTAGAACTATTCCAAAATCCATAGTTCTTTACCTAATAGATTTACAAATTGTCTTCTTGGTCATGGTAATCAATAGAACCCACCCAGTTTGAAAAGAAGTACCAAAAGCTTGAAAAAAATGTAGATCAATAAATAAGATGACGAGAGATGACAAATGTTAACTTTTGTTACAGCACTACCAAAATCACAAGAGATCAGGGAGTCATGGCATACCTCTATATTAGCAAAAATATAATTGTCTTAAGATACCAGAAAACTCTGTTGTACTCTATTACTTAAAGCTTTTTTCTTTATTTATCTGCAAGAGCTTCGTTGTTAATCTTTCTTAAGGGATGTTTTTCATTCATAGCCTTTGTATATTATTCACTTTTAATTGGATCAGGAATTGGGTAGATCATTAATTTAAAAGGATTGTTGGGCTCTTTTTAAAAAAATGGCTGGATAATTGATCCTGCAAACTTTTTTTTTTAATGACCGATCAAAATTAAAGTAAGGCCAAGAAATTTGTTTTCTTACATAGTTTAATAAGTCCACAGGATATGAAAAGTAAACATTGTTCATTAAAGACCTGTGTTTCACTGGCACTTTGCTTTTAATTTTAACATAAATAAACAGTCTGCTTTGTTGTAGAGACGAGACACAGCAATATATTTCGTAGCCAAACTCAGTATCTGTTTTCAAGGAAACAAAATGCACTTCAACTTTATCGCATATGGCTTCCAGATGGCACACAACCAAATGTAAAACAAATACATAAATTATAAAGGCAGTTGAAAAAAAAATGGGAAAAGGGTTGGCAGTGATTAACCGTCAAAAGCCTGTAAGAATTGTTATTGGTCATTTCGATCATGAGAGACAAGAACAGAACCACGGTGTTGATGGTCTTCCTCCACGTGAAAAGAGTTCCAGCAGGCAGGTCATTGAAGAAAGCTCTTTGTCCCTGCTGAAAAGAAGCTGTTTTGGGCAGCCATCACCAAGATGCTTCTCAACTGCTTCATATGAGCCACGGTAGCATTGTGGTTAGAATGCAGTACTGCAGACTACTTCTACTGACTGCCGGCTGTCTGAAATTTGGCAGTTCAAATCTCACCATGCTCATGGTTGACTCAGCCTTCCATCCTTCTGAGGTGGATAAAATGAGGACCCAGATTGTTGGGGACAATATGCTGATTCTGTAAAGAGCTTAGAGAGGGCTGTAAAGCACTGTGAAGTGATGTATAAGTTTAAGTGCTATTGCTATTGCTATTGCTATATGCTGAAGACAACTGTGCTTGAGAAGGCAACCTCCCACCCCCATCTCTGACACACTGAGAGAAAGAGCAACCTAGTAAAGGAACAACATTATGCAGGATGAAATAGAGCAAGGCTGGGCTAATGTGACACTTCTTGACAATAGTTCTCAAGTACGTCCCTTGGCAGCAGTCACATTTTTCACCCATCTAATTATTTAAAAAGAGTTCAATGAGAAGCTGATGTGTTGCAAAGCAAAGTACCAGTTTCTACCATCTATTTACTGGATTGCTTTTGATGACCAAACAGGTCTCAGAGGCATTTCTTTTTTTAAAAAATGAAACACCCACACCCAAATATAGCAGCCCAGTGTTTTGTTCTTCAGGTAAGGACTTGCTGAAAAATGGAATGAAAAGTAGGTGAAGATTTGAGTATCTTAAGGATGAAATGATGATGCAGAAGTAATACAATTTTATGATATATTATAAAACAATGTAAATAATGTTATACAGGGTCAACATACAACCACAAATGAGCCCCAAATTTCCATTAATGAGCAAGACACTTGCTGAGGTCTTCTCCATTTTATGAACTTTCTTGCCACAGTTGTTAAGTGAGTCACTGGAGTTGTTAACCTAGTAACATGGTTGCGAAATAAATCTGGTTTTCCCATTCATTTTGCTTGTCAGGTCACAAAAGATAGCCATGGGACACTGCAACCGTTATAAATACATGCCAGTTGCCAAGCGTCTGAATTTTGAGCACATGACCACAGGAACGTTGCAACGGCCATGAGGAAAACAGTCGTAAGTCACTTTTTTCAGTGCCATTGTAACTTCAAACGGTCACTAAACAAAAGAGCCGAGGTGGCGCAGTGGTTAAATGCAGCACTGCAGGCTACTTCAGCTGACTGCAGTTCTGCTGTTCAAATCTCACCGGCTCAGGGTTGACTCAGCCTTCCATCCTTCCGAGGTGGGTAAAATGAGGACCCAGATTGTTGTTGGGGGCAATATGCTGACTCTGTAAACTGCTTAGAGAGGGTTGAAAGCTCTATGAAGCGGTATATAAGTCTAACTGCTATTGCTATTGCTATTGCTAAATGGTTGTAAATCGAGGCCTACCTGTATCACAACACTATAATGTATTGTTCATTTTTGCCGAAAAATGAATGTTTTGTGACTGATCATAGCAGGCCCTTTTAACAACTAATAGCCAGGGGTGAAATCAACTTACCTTCGCTACCAGTTTGCAAACGTGAGCGCAAATGTCGGAAGTCTCAATTCAGAGAGCAGACTAGATTGGTTTTCTTGCATAGACTCAGAGCTATATAGATAAGCCATGCCCAGGCTCCGAGCCGTTTGGCATGGCTCTCAGTCACCAAATAGTTCCCATTGGCTGACCCAGTTGCCATGCCTATACATTGGCTGAACTTGTTACCATGTCCTATTCCAGCCAGTCCCCAATGGCTGACCTGTTGCTATGTCCTATTCCAGTTCATAAATATTCTGACAAATACCAATGGTATTTTTCTTTTAAGCCACAGTATAAGAGTAGTAAATTTCCTTACATAGCTCCACTCCACCATTATTTCTATTAATCTCTTGAAACTTAAGATGCACATCAAAACTAGTTTTTATAACAAAAAAAAAATCTGCAAAACAGCAACTGCACACACACCTTCCTTTGGGACATAGACCTTGATCTGCACCAGATGGAGTTGAGCAAAATCAGACATGCTGCAGAAATACTCAAAAATGCGGGGGGGGGGGGAGAGACCACTCATTTCAAATGTTTGAAGAGACATCCACAAGAAACAATAAAACAGAAATAAAGCAGCAACTTTTTAAAAAGCAATAAAAATTCACAGCAGTAGGACTGACATTTATGGCCTTTGATATAATACATTGCAGGAATATATTACATTAAGGGAACTAAAAGAAAACTCTTGTATTAGGGAATGTAAATAAGACATAATTTGGTAAAGTTATTTTTCACATAGGCTCTTGATTTTATTAATAGGTCATAGCGATATCTTCTAAATATTAAAATAAAAAGTTGTTGGCAAAAAGTTGGTAAGGAAATACTTTCCTAAGTTCATATTTAAAAAGTAACCATCAGGGAACTGTTTACACATAAGTGCAATATCTTAGCATATGTGATGATGAAAGTTAGCTGCAAAGTAACATTGAAGAATAGGTCCAAAACTTAGTTGAAATTTTATAAGCAGTCAAAAGCAAGCACGTATATTAATAAGCAGCCAGATTTTAATTCAAGCAAGGCTTTGATGTGAATGCTCAGCATAGCACAAGACAGACAGCCCTGCTCATGTCATCACCTCGACTGCAAGGAAAATGAAATCAGAATGATGAACTTGCCTTTGGATGCCTTATTTTTCATCCCCAAAATTAAAACGAACTGTATATAACATGTTTTTGGTGTGTGTGTAATTAAATAACTGGTGTTACTATATATGCTAATTCTTCAAAGAAATTTAAATAGGCATTGACAAGGTCATTCAACTTGCCATGGTTAAAAAGTGCAGCCTGGACTCAGCTCTGAAGCTTGAAGCAAACCCAATCTCCTTCCTTCTACTTTGGCTTGGACTTACATTGAGATACTAAAGCCACGAAGGTCTCTTCATCTGATTATGTGATTCTACATTCAGAACCGCCAGTGGGTACCCAGGCAAAATCAGTGTACCCCTTCTGCCTTTCACTTCACAGCCAAGCTGAAAGTTTCCTTCTGTGATGAAGGGGCCCTTTGAGTTCAACCTTTTCATGAGGAATAGAGGCTGAACACAATGCCTTCCTATTTCATGCTCAAGCTGTAGTCTTATCTGTTAACCCAAGGGCAGCCTCTACTTTCTCCCATTTCTTTGGAGCTGGGGGGAAAGAGAAAGAAGGCAGACATTCCTTTATTCAAGGAAATAAGCATAGGATAAATGTCAGAGGCAGTGAGAATGTTCCTCACCCATTATCCCAAATTCATTTTCAGAGATGAAGCAGCGATGTTTCCAGACTTAGAAGAAATCCCAAAAAGAAAAAGTAGCACTTTACCCTTAATTTTTTAAATTGTTATGATTTGGGATTAGAAAAGCCTTCATTACATAGCATGCAAAAGTATATAAACCATGCTCAATATCGAATTTCATGTTTGTTTGTGTGCACGGGTGTATGAACAGAAAAATATTTAGCATTAATAGTAGTCTCATCAATATACTCCTGCATATGAGAGTGATAGAAGCAGAATTTGTTATATAGCATGCATCACAGGATTGAATTTTTTTAGAACACATAAACTGAGAGAGAAATCCAAAGTTGTGCAAGGAGATGTTCTGTGTAACAAGATCCTAATTTCCTGTCCTCCCTCTTAAATTTCTTATTCCCCCACATCTGTTCTAGAATCCCCAACACTCCATTTGGAGAAGGTGGTGGTGGAAACAGAAAATAGGCCCTTTTCTATTTTTTCAGCAGTGAAAGTGTTGGGCAGTTGAATAATTAATTAAATTAATTTTGTAATGAAATGATTTCCAGGTCATGCAATCTAAATCGCTGCATAGGAGTGGACATTTTGTTAGCCGTGTTGCTAAATTATTTAAGTTTGGCAAAATATCAGTACATAATTATAATCTCATGTGGCATGATCTTGAAATCATTTTATCAAGAAATAGCAGATGAAAATATTCATTCTGGAATTAATTTCATTTGTCTGAATTTCTTTTAGTCTAGAAATTCTAATTTACAGAATTTTGTACTAAGAATATAGATGTCAAAGAATAAATAAAGAGGAAGACAGTTGAAAAAGCAATACTCTCAGGGCAAATAGCAAGTTTTCATTTTTTTTACATACATACAATATTTCTGATTTTTTTTTACTATATGAAAAATAAAACCATGGTACAACTCGTGCTACAAAATATATCCAGAATAATGATTCAACCATATTCATAAGTGCTAAAAATGGAGGTAAAGAAAAAAATGAAAATTACCTAAATCAACTTTTTTCTAATTAAATACTTTGAATTAAATGGTGTCCTAAGAGCATCACTGAAGATGATAGTAATTGCAGTCCACTATACATATAGTTAAGACAAGGTTGATCTTGTAAAACAGCATATATTCTAAAGCTTACATTCTGAATGTAATACAGTACTTTCTTCCGCCTTAAATATACAGCTATTAACAGGAAAAGTAGATTTATTGTAAAGCAACGTTCATTGCTGGGGATGGAATTTGACAACAGATATGCTTCTAAATTTTTAGAAGTAAAGCCATTTTGGAAATTTTTGTAACAAAATAGCATGTCTGCTACTTTCTTCTTCGCTTACTCTTGGATATTGGCGAGCTGCTCCTAGAATGTTGTGATTTTTGTTTGGTCGTTTTCACACTTGTTTTTCTAAAAGAAAAGGAGACACATGCCAATTAAAAACTAGATATAGTTGGTAGCAATTGAAGATAAGGTATATTATTCACAAAATAGCATATTCTGTACCAGGCCCCTTAGCCCCAAGTAACATAGTGTAGGTTCAGTCTCAGAATTTGGAGGCTGTAGTAATCTGGATGGAACAAGCCACAGAAACAAGCACAACTTACCAACACTGAATGATTGTGAGCATTATAGGCAACCTGATCCTAGAGATCTTCCATCTGGATAGGTCTGTACCATCTCCTACAAATTGATGTGCACTTTAGGAGTCCTCCTTGACTTCTCTCTGCAAATAGCAGCAATGGATAGCAAAGCTTTTGGACAAATCTATCCTGCACATCAATTGTCCCTGTTCCTCAGTCAGGGGCATTTGCTCATAGTCACTCACAGCTTGGTGACCTCTTCTTTGGGTTACTGCAATACATTTTAACATGGAACTGTCCTTCAAAATTATTGGAAGCTATAGCTGGCTCAGAATGTAGCAGGGCAGGTAGTTATGGGTACACCTGAAGAAGCCAATATAACAATCCTAATGCACAAACAGCACTGGTTACTAATGGTTATCATCTATAAAGCCCTTCAGGGTTCAGAGGCAGAATATTTGAAGGACTGTGCAAGTATCTTTGTCCACTTAATCAGAACTGACAGAATTGCTATGTTCCAGGTCCTATTTATTAAACAGTGCTATGTTATGGAGGTCCTTCTCCATTGCTATGTTTTCAGTTCTTATGCTTTCTGAAACTCAAATGACCCAGACCTTGCTTGCCTTTAGAAAGAGGCTGAATATGTGACTCTTTTCTTGAGCACTGGGTCAAGATGCTCTGTATGTCATCATTAAGTATGAACTGTTATGTGAGTTAAGTGTTTTTGATGTTATATACGCTGATTTGTGACCACCACCCCGCTCCGCGTAGTGGATATATTTTTGATGATTTTAACTTGCTAGAGTTGCTTAGCAAAGAAGTGACTATATAAATTGAAAAGGTAAATGAAGAAATAAATAAATATGAACACTTAAGATATTTATTAGAAGACTTAAGTTAATTTTTCTGAATTACCTGAGATTTAGCTAAAGCATTTTTAAATAGTCAGGAAAAGAACTTCTGATTTTATGAGTTTGAGAATTAAACTCAAGTAGATTTACTGTTTAGGGTTTTAAACACTATTTCTAAGCCATAATAATAGAGGGGGGGAATTACATCAACATGTTGATAACAGGCATAATAATATAACAATGTTTGACACTTATGATGAATAATATGACCAAGCTAATACCCCCCTTTCAACAAAATCTGAACGATCAAAAGGAGATTTTAACAAAATGTTCTGGTGGGAGGAAAACTTGCATTCTTATTCCTACAACATGAATATATAGTGTGTGCATGCTATTATTTGATACAGATTATTTAGAATACAAATTTATAGTGTACCAAAGAGATCAAAAGTAGAGTACAATTTGCTTTTAAAACTTTGAAAGATTAAGAAAATAGCAGAACATTGCAAAAATGCAAATGATAAGCAAGAAACTAAAGATTAAAGACGGATAAGCAAAATACTTGGCTTATACTAATTTAAAAAGATAACTTTCTCTATTGGGAGCTGTCCATAGAGGATGAGTTTAAATGAAGAATATTCATTTGAATGTTTCAAATGAATAAATGCCATTTGTCAGAAAAAGTAAAGATATTCTTGCATAATGACTTAAAAATTTGGATTTGAAAATGTAAAGCACAATAACAGAATAAAACTAATGAGAGTAATTGACAGAAAATCAAGAGAATATAAGTGAATTTCAAGGAGAAATTTAAAAGTGTCAGGCTTAAATGGTTAAATGCAACATAATTTATGTAAGTCTAATATTTTTTTTAGATAGATTGCATTTGTTTACATGTAGAATATTGTAGTTTGTTTAAAAGTACAGGGTATGTTTAAATATGTTTAAAAGTACAGGGCATTTCAACTATATGAGTCAGGATACTTTATGAATTTATTAAATTTCTAGACCCACCAGAGTCATATGACTATCAGTGGCATATGACAATAAGCTTGTTTCTCATAAAGGTCTGTTGACCATTGGTCAACCATCTAAGGCAGTAGTTCTCAAGCTGTGTTTTGTGGACCCCTGGCAGGCCATGATGTTGTCACAGGGGTCTACAAAAGCTTGATGCAGTCTAGTGTTCTAAATCTTGATTTAAGACTTGGGAGTTCATGCCATGGTCTGTGATCACAAAAGGTATTTAAAGGGAGTCCGAAGGGAAGAAAAGGTTTATTCTTGAAAAATACTTCACTGAGCTGATTATCTTAAATTTTGAAGCTTGCAAGCCTTTAAATTTCCAGGAACCTCATGTCATGATATTGTACATCATCTCAGATCAATGAATATTATATTGTCATTCTAGATAATCATGATCGAACAGGGCACATAAGAGTACTAACTATGTACACTGCTAGAAATGTGCTTTCTTAGTACTGTTTAATTCCTGGTAGAAGTTGTCTCATCAACCATACGGTATTAATTAAAACAGACAACTAATAGTGGATAAAAACCACAGAACCTCTTTTATGTAAATGTCTCAGTGCTGAATTTCTCTGAATCACAATTTAAAAATGAATCCGTTTATTCTTTATGTTGTTTATTAAATGAGGACAGATATGTGTTGTTTACATCAAAGTAAACCTTGGATAATTAGAACTATAAAGTTTTACATTTTTTACAAAATGTATAAGACAAGAACAAAGTAACATGGTTGGAATATGATATCTTTATATTTATAAATACTGAATGGACCAATTGTAAATAAGCATGGTGGTTATAATATTTAACTTTATATTTTAGAATGTATGGCAAAGATATTGCCAGGATGGTTACACTTGGTCCAATGTTTTAATGTATGTCTAATAAAAAACCTTTTTTTAAAAAAGAACTATAAACTTTTATAAGAAACCAAGCTGTGCACCAAAACTATGCTCCTTAAATTATCCAAATCAGTAAGCATGTTTTCTTTATCAAATCCCAAAATATCCAAAAGTAAGTCTGGCGTTTCCTTCTTGTTAAGTCTCTTTATTTTTATTAGAGAAATGCAAAATCTAATGCTGGCTTATTATTCCGAGTTGTCTTTGGTTTTATTTTTTCTGAGACAAACAATCCAAAAGTAATGAGGTTCATCTGCTTCCCTTTTCCCAAAGCCTCCAAAGGATCCCCCCCCACCAACATTCCTGCTCTTTAGCTTACTGATGCAGAGATATCTGGCAGGCAAACTATTTAACTTTTTTAAGTTTATAAGATGTTTATTTTCAGCAAAAGGGATGGGGAAAAAAGAAATGTACAAAATCCATGATTTCCTCTTGCACTATTTTGTCATTTCTAACACTGAATATAGATGGCTGCCAATACAAATACCTCTTTTGATGGCCTGGCACATAGAATTTATTTACTCCTTTACCAATAAATATAATGCATTCAGATAGTTTTTCTTTATTGCTTCCCATTCTGATTCTTCAAAATAATTAAAAATAATAGTGAAAATACATTTAACTTCAGAAGGAGAAACAGAAAGTTAGATATAGATAAATAGATAGTTGCATGTATGTATGTATGTATGCATGCATGCATGCATAAAATACATGCTTACCTATCACACTATTCACTTCAAAGTTAGTGGTAAGAAATGCAAGGTACAGAATGGGACTAAGATATAGCAAACAAAATAAAATCTGTAATACCATTTCTTACTATGCAACTTCATACCAGCATAGCAAGCCATGCTCACTTTTATCATGTCCTTTCCCTACTTCCTATACCGCCTTTTGTTCTTTAAACTTCTTCCCTCTCCCTCTCTTATTTTTTAGAATCTTGCCAAGTTAATTCATCTGTGACTCTCTTGAACTTTTCCTTCTTCTCAACCCATTCATTCTCTCTTCAAATACTATTTTTCCCAGTTTGATCTTAATGTAGTCTCTGTTTATGTCAAAACCACAGGTCATCCTTATTTGTGACAGCTGGCAGTTACAACCAATCCCCTCGCATTTATGGCCAGTTCCAATTGTGGTCATCATTCTTTTTTTTTTTAATAAAGAGTTTTATTATTTTTCAATTACAAAAATAAACATTCCATCTTTCCTTCTGCCGTGGGTCGTCTGGGTACCAACATCTTTTGGCAAATTCTTTCACATTCATATTAACATTATTTCCCTAAGTTTATATTATAATATATTGAGCATTTGAACGTTATAAAACTCTCAATTTTTCTTCTGAATATCTTCTCATAATAATATCATATTAACATTAAATATCATTATTATCATCATACACATATTAACAGTTTGCATCTTATTTATATCTCTATCTAAGTGTACTGTCTACTCATATTTTAGCTTTCTTCATTTCCAAACTTGTTTTTTATTCTCCAACCATTGGTAAAATACTTCCTAAATCATATAATATTCAGTTTGCTCTTTCTCCTTAATTACTAATGTTAATCTGTTCATTTCTGTATATTCTAATATTTTCCTTATCACCTTCTCATCAATAGGAATCTCTACTTTTTTCCAATGTTGTGCAAAAGAATCATCATTCATTTTTGTATTCAATCCATATTCATTCAACAACTATGTATTCCTGACTCTCTTTTCTTATTTCACCACACACATAACTAAGTTCTGCACTCCAATTGCATTCAATTTTTATTTCTTTTCACATATCTAACTCACTTCTAGCACTTAATAGTAAGGACAGTACGTGGTTTGCTGAGTTTTGCCCAATATATCACAAGTGCAATTAAAACTGTATTTCATCACAAGTAAACTCATGCTATGCTGTGAAGAGTAGAGAAGGATCTCTCCTCTGTTGTCTACATGCTGTATACTCAATGTACATATAGTGCACTGATGTACATTCAGGATGGGCATCTAAAGATAGGGAAAGAACCAATCTTATATTTCATATGTTGGGGTGTACCCATAAAACTTTT